ATCTTTTCTAATGTTCGGATTTTGGTTTCCCTGATGTAGTTTTTTTGCCCACCGGGTTCCAACTTTTCAAACACCCCAAAAAACCCCCCCCCCCCCCCCCCCTCCTTCCTGTCGCCCTGTGGCCCTGTCGCCCTATCGCCCTCGTCACACGTAACCAGGGTGACCCAAGCCATCCACCCCCGGCACCCCCGAACCCCCGCCTCCCCACCCCCCCGGGCCATTGGCCATGTGCGCCTCGTCATCGAAGCGGAACAGCGGCCATGGCAGCAACAGCAGCCTCTCCCACCACCACCACCACCACCACCACAACACCAACACCATCGACAAGCTCGAGTACGCACCGCCACCACGCTCGTCGCGCCACCCTCTGCTCGCTTCCCACAGCGACGCCGGCTCTCGCCAGAGCCACGACTCGAGTTACGCCGGCAGCTTCTTCGAACAGGTTGCCGAGGGCATCTACAAGCGCGACTGCGTCAAGATGCAGCGCGCCCTCGTCCGCTGGCTGAGCTTTGTCTGGGCGATAATCAACTGCCTCTGCGCCGGCAGCATCACCGCCTACTCGCTCTACGGCCACCTGTTCCAGTCGAAGCTGCACTACACCCAGGTCCAGGTCAACATCGTCTCCATTGGCGCAGAGCTTGGCCTGTACCTGCTGGTGCCCCTCTTTGGATATCTCTGTGACCGTCTGGGGCCCGGTGCTCCCTCCGCTCTTTCTGGACTGCTCTTTGGCTTGGGATACGCCCTGGCCGCATTTGCATACCAGAGTGGCCCGCCGCCGTCTGCTGGGGGACATGGCTGGCCGTTTGGCGTCATGGTTGCCGCATTCGCCTTGATTGGCATGGGCACCAGCTGCATGTACCTCTCCGCCGTCACCACGTGCGCAAAGAACTTTGGCAGGGGAAACGCAAAGGGTGTCGCGCTCGCAGTCCCCATCGCGGCCTTTGGCCTCAGTGGCATGTGGCAGAGCCAAGTCGGCAGCCGCCTCCTCTATGAGAGGAACCCGGACGGCAGCAAAGGCGACGTCGATGTCTTCCGCTTCTTCCTCTTCCTCTGCATCCTTCTCCTCTTCGTCGGCACCCTCGGCTTCTTCACCCTGCGCATCGTCGACGAGGAAGAAATGATTGACGAGGCTGTGGACGAACTCGAGCGATCCGGACTCCTCCAACGCGACGACTTCTTCACCCAAGCCGCACACCACCATGGCTACGGCACAATGTCCACTCAGGACCTGTCAGACTCGACCTTTGACTTTCTCCAATCAGAGGCCGAGCGCTTGAAAGCCAAGCACGAGGAAGAAGCCCGCAAAAAGACCTGGCTTCTCAACGAAGAAACACGACGGTACATCATGGACCCGACAATGTGGTGGTTAGCCGCCGGCTTCTTCCTCGTCACCGGTCCAGGCGAGGCCTTCATCAACAACCTAGGCACCATCATCGACACCCTCACGCCTTCCCACGTCGCCACAAACACATCCCCGGCAACCCACGTCTCCATTGTCGCCATCACCTCCACACTCGCACGCCTCATCACCGGCACCCTCTCCGACATGCTCGCTCCAGTCTCCGTATCGCACCAACACCGCCGCGGCCCCGAATCCCTGGCAAACTCGCTGTCTTCTGTGCCAGACGACGAGCGACCAAAGCGCTTTACAGTCTCACGCATCACCTTCCTCCTCACCTTTGCCTTTATCCTCTCCCTCGGCCAAGTCCTGCTCGCAAGCGGCTGGGTGCAAAACCACGCCTCGCGCTTCGCAGCTGTGTCCGCCCTCATCGGCGCAGGCTACGGCGCCGTCTTCTCCCTGACCCCCATTGTCGTCTCCGTCGTCTGGGGCGTCGAGAACTTTGGCACCAACTGGGGCATCCTCGCCATGACACCTGCGGCTGGCGCCACGCTCTGGGGCGCCGTGTACGCCATGGTCTACCAAAAGGCTGCGCAGATGGGTGAGCCGGGCGTGGAGAGCGGTGGTCCCGAAGACGATGTCTTGTGTCATGGGAAACAGTGCTATGAGAGTACCTTTTGGGCCATGGCAGTTAGTGTCTGGTTGGCTATGGGCTTGTGGGTTTGGGCATGGAGAGGACCTGGCGGGTGGATGCGGCGGGGTGTTGCGGTCTAGTAGTGGAGGATTGGGGTATCTATATCTCTACGCTTTCTTCTTCTTTCTGTTTCATTCGCTTCTTGTCCTTTTGCATGGTTGGCTTGGTTTGGTTTTGCATAGCGTGTTTTTTTTTGGCGTGGCGTTTCGTGGTGTTTATTTCTTGGGGGATTCTTTGGTTGGCTCGTTGGATTTGGAGTCTCCAGGCGTCTTGTATGTCATTGATGCATGGATACATGTCAGGGAGCTGCGTGGAGCTGCGTGCCAGTGAGTGAGATTTGAAGTTTGAAATTTGCAAGGCCGAATTTGGAAGTTGGGATTAGGATGGTTGGACGTCTGGAGGCTGGGAGATGGAATTGGGACTGCATTGGCTGGTTGTTTTAGTTGTGCATGCATGCTTATTTTTATCTGCCTCCTTGTCTCTGTCTATCTGCTACGCATTCGCACGCAAACACCCAATTCACCATAGAAATAACCAGGGTAGAGTGCGCATAGTTGTGATAACCAGCTTTTGAGAATTGTCTTATGTTTAGAGTGTAGATTGTATATACCTCTTTTATTCGCACATCTTTGCGATTCTGACTACGGTTGCGATACTTGCTTGGACTCTACTGCCGATTTTCAAGGCCAATGACAATGCTGATGCCAGTTCCAGTGCTAATTCAAACACCTGCTGCAATCTCTATTTCAATTCCTCAGCAAACGACAATCACGGAGTAAAAGTAAATCCGCGGAAACCTTGACAAGTGTAAAGGGGAAAGTTGAATGCGAGTTGGGATGTAACAGAGGATGAGAAAGGTCGTGCGTGGTGTTGTATGTTGGATAGATTTCTTCACTGAGGGATACCACATGTTGGCATTCAACGCTGTGTTTGTTCGGGATCAAAGAGAGACAGGCATGTCATGAGAATGTAGGTCCTTGTATAATTCACGTGACTCCAATTTCCCCTCGCTCGTGCACTCACGAAGCTTCGCACTCTCACAGACGTTCTCTCTGTCTGCATTACAATATCCCCCACTTCCCCCAATGGCGTCCTGCACCCCATCCCCATCCCCATCGTCTCCTCCCACCAGACTCCAACCCTACGTTTTGAGAAGGCCGACAAGTCTCCCAACCTCATCCTTGACCTGCCCGCAACACAACCTCGTCTGCTCATCCCCCTGCACCATGTCCCCAATAAGGCGCTGGACCTCGTCGCCAACCCCACCCAGCCCCAAGCCCAATGCAAACGTATTGGGAAACAGGCCGCGACGGAGATGGGTGAGTGCGGCAATGCGCTCCATGCGGGTGCCAAACTTTTGCAGCATTTCAAAGGCGACGATGCCGAGGGCGAAGACGTCGAGTTTCTCGTTGACGCGCGTGCTGACGGGGGGGCGGTAGAGTTCTGTGCCCACGGGTCTGGCGTCCGGGTCGGTGCCCATGGAGCGGTCGTCGAGCGCGGCTACGAGGCCGAAGTCGCCGATGCGGGGAGTCATGTGTATACAGGTGCGTTGGCCGCATGGTTTGCAGCTGGAGAGGTCGACGGAGCCGTGGGGTGCGTGGCGCGCGGTGGAGAGGGAGAGGAAGACGTTGGCTGGTTTGAGGTCTCGATGGACAACGCCTTGGGCGTGTAGGTAGTCCACCCCCGAGACGATGCTGTTCAGTAGCTCGAGAGAAACACATGGGTGGAAACAGTGCTGATCAATTGCTTCCGCACTGGAGATTCTTTCGGAAGATAGGAAGGCTGCAAGGTTCGTCTCGCATAGACTCATTTGGACGTTCAGTGTAAGCACGGGGCCGGTAACCGAACGGGAGATCAACTCGCTCGGGACATCACTGTTCGATATGATGCTCTCTGACATTTCAGAGGATCGTTCTTGCGTGCGCGGCACGTGTGACCTGGGAATCATCTCAACATCTTCATCATCCTCTTCGTTCGCATCTTCAACCACGCTCATCCGAGACTTGGTCGATGATATTGTAGCAATCGTTGCTTGGCTGGCCTGACTTCCTCTACGATTCTTTCGCTTCAACACTCTCAGCTTCTCCCGCAAAGACATGCTATCCTCTGCTTCACTCTTGGCTTCCTCAGCAGCAGGATCCGGATCGCTGTACTCAAACACTATGCCAGCACCGGAACTAGGTTCAGTGGCCGAGTGAGGATCGTCGAAAGATAGACTGTTGAATTGACTGTGCAATGTGTTTACTTTGGGTGAGCTCGAGGGGAAAGCGGCGTGCTCCTCTAACAATCTATCGGTACGCAGTACGGGAAGGATTGACTCTGCCGACATTTCTGGAGGTATAGTCGTGAATTCCAGCCACGCGTTGTGATATCGGACAATATTGGCGTGTTCAAACCGGGCGAGCGATCGAACTTCTTCGAGCATACTCTCCAGTTCCTGTGGCCCATGCTCTTGTATCCTCAACTGCTTTGCCTCACTGATTGGGATTCTCTTGACGGCATAGAGAGATCCATCGAGCTTATGCTTGGCTTTGTAGACCTTGCCGTACCCACCCTTGCCAACCATGTCAAGCTCAGAGAACTCGCGCATATAACGATCCACCTGTAAACCAGGATATCCAGAGAGGTGCAACTCTGTTGGTGCAGATAGGCCCGATAGTATGTCGAGCCCAGGCACTGGTTGATGCGGTATGCTGACGGTTGTGTTCCTTTGGGACCGTGTCATCAGTGCGTGAGAGTTTCCTTCGGGAATTATGGCTAGCCTACTCAAGTTGTCCCTGGTGAGCCTGTTGATTCCAGCATTTGCCGCAGCCCGATGCCCTTGCATGTCGTTGCCTGCGTACCGTCCATCCACATTATCAGACAATTCGCGTGCAATCTGCTGGTAAGCCTCTCGGCCTATCCGTTGAACATCAGGGTCTGATGCATCTCTACCCATGTCCACCGCAACTTGGTTGATTGTTCTCTCTTCTAGTAAAGAATGGAGTAATATGTCTCGAACATCCTGGGCAGAATTCTGCCGCATCCCAAGGCGAAGTGGCCGACTTCCTACGGCAGATGCTCCTGAATTTGCTGAAACCAGGGCATTGATCCGGGTCAGAACGCTATCATGTTGCAATGGATTGGTCTCGGCATTCTCGGTATCCTCAAAGGAGTCCTCGGAAGATGAGGACGAGCTGTCGCCAGGTCTACGAAACATGGACATGACGAAAAAAGAGCGTCGATTGCCTGTAGAGCAATGCAAAAGAAGGGACTTCGATCAAACTACAATGGATATGGCTTTAAAGCCAATTGATAGGGGCGAAAACCATCCGGTGGTTCTACAAAAGGCAGCTGTGTTGTGAGTCGTGGATATCGTGGTTGTGGTCGTGTTTATGGATTGGGCACTGCAATTTGTAGTGACAGTCGAATGCCAGTTCGACGTCTGCAGTGTCAATGCAATGGCCCCCATGAGCACCCAAAGCTCCAGGCAAACAGAGAACGCAGCGGAAGTTGATGGAAGGAAAACGTGGCGCTTTTGAGGGCGCAAGGCCAGGTTGGATGGGATTGGGGAAGGGCGTGCCCAAGCGAGGGGAATCTAGGCGCGATTGAGGATAGTTCACGACGACACGTGACCAGGTGAAGACGCGCAATTCACCCGCACGTGCGCGTCCAAGGATGCCTTCTCCCAACCTGGGAATCTCTACCACACTTTCGAGCGTTACATGTCCGTCGGATGCACAGGATGTTGCAGGTAGCTGACCGTGCCGGGCCCCGAGCTTCACTTGCCTGGCTGCCTGATCATCAGTCAACATGCCGCGACAACTACCTTGGGCGGGCAAAGCTGGCTCGAGTCGAACACAAGTAAAGGCGCCGCCACGAAAGAAACAGCGTGTGGTGTCTGCTGTAGATGACGACTTCTTTGGCGGCACCATTCTCGCAGGCAGCAAGAAAGGCAAGGAAAGAGCAGTGAATTCGGACGATGACCTATCCGATCTTGCCGTGGAATCAAAAACTCCACGGACAAATCTCCTGGGCAAAGGCCCCCGTAGCGCGGACCGAGCGCCATCTTCATCGCCACCGCCAGAAGTAGAGGTACAACCAACGGTTGAGCCTATGCGCAAGGGCGTGTCCAAGTTTGATCTTCGCGATGATGAATGGATGATGGTGGAAGACGAATTCCTGGAGACTGCCAACTTGTTTACGCGTCACCTACACATTGCAGAATATCAACGATTGAAAGAGACAATCGAAGCGAAGAAGAAGGAAGTTGCAAACGAGATCCAACGACCAGTGGTGCCTAATGCGAAGTTGTCCTTTGAAAGCGCCATCAAAGAAAAAGCCAGATTGCAAGCGAGAAAACAGAAAGAAGCTATCCGAGACGTATTGGAAACTCAACACGATCCTTTCATCACTCCTGCAAGAATCTCAACCGCCCCCTCACACATGTCATCTGATTCCGACGGCGAGGACCTAGACGCCATCCAGCGTCCACCAAGACGTGCTCTTCCAAGCAAGCAAACACCAACAGCAACAACACCGCGCCCAACAATCTCCACACCACAGCCACTATCAAAATCTAAACCAAAACCATACTCAACCCCAAAACCAACAGCAACATCACCCACACCCACCCCACACCCCTTCAAAAAACCCGCTCCACCTAATACCCCAAACCCCCGCACCAGACCCCCCCGCCCAACCCCCTTCGACATGCTCGACGACTACCTCCCCAAGATACCCACCACCCCAGCCCCAAACCCATCACTCTTTGACCCCCACGCCACCGCATCGCCCACAGCATCGCCAAGCAGCACACCAATCCGTAAAATGAACAGCGACACGCAGTTCAGAGGCAAGCATGAGCGGGAGGACTATTCGAATAAGGTGAAGAAGGAGGAGAAGAAGAAGCAGGGTGCGGTTCAATTGGATGATATACCGACATTTTTGTTTTGAAAGTAAGATGACGGACTTTTGGGTTGTGTTTTTGGGAAGGGGGGCTGGGGGCCAGAGGAGAGGTGGAGATTTGTAGTCGGGAGGAGGGTGTTGTGTACTGTTGTGTACTGTACCTGGAATTCTTTTTGGCCGATCATGTGTGTGTATGTGTGCATGATTAGTCTAATTCCACACCCTGAGCCTCCTACCCGATCCTTCCCACTTCCCTCCCATTCCCCGTTCCCAACCAGAATCCAAGGATAAGCACACAGGCGAGTTTAGACCGGGAGTTGGGTTGCGTACAAGGCGGTGTGATAGTCGCGACAACTGGGTTTTGTGGGTATATGAAGTGCGGGTTGTGTATGGGCCTGGATGGGAGTGATGGAATGGTGTGGTGATGAGATGTGGGGTCTTGGTGGAATGGAATAGCGAATAGCGAGTGTCGAATATTGAGTATCGATCAACTACATGTACAAGAAAAGAAACACCCCTTACGCCCTACCACAACCACTCATCTGCCCACACCCACACCTCAAATCCACTCCACTCCCATCCACCCCAAACCCCCAAAATCAACCAAACAGTTTGTCCAACACGCGAATAAACATATTCGTCTCCTTCTTGGGCCTGAAATTCCGAGTATACTCTTCAATCTCGGCGACGTCGGAGTAGAGGTCTGCGGCGTGGGGGGCGACGAATTTTGTCTTTTTGAGGATTTTCCAGCCGAGGTAGAGGACAGGGAAGACCATGACCCTGGGGAGGGGGGTTAGTATTATTTAGAGTCGAGGGAAGTGGGGGGAGAGAAAAGGGGGGGAAGATGGTGGGGAAAAGAAAGGGCAAGGGGGGAAACGTACATGAGATAGGAGAACAAAAACGAAGGGATATCCCAATACCCCTTAAGAAACACGGTATAGCCACCGACAAAGGTCATGACAAAGGTGCACACCAAGCCATAATATGCCGCATACGGCTGCAAATAGCCCACATAGGGCAGCGTCCTGCGATCGAGGCCCTGAGCCTTGCAAGCCCTGTAGAAGCAAATGTAGGTAAAGCACATGACGCTAAAGTTGATGAGCTGGGACGCCGTAATCAAGCTGACAAACCAGTTGAGCACGACGGCCGACTGCTCGCCCAGCTGTAAGAAGGAGAGCAGGGAGATGACGAGGACGATGGCGACGCAGAGATAGGGTACACCCTGCTTTGTGCACTTGGTCAACACCTTGGGCGCCTTGCCCTCGAGCGCGAGCCCGTAGAGCGAGCGCGAGGCGCAGTAGACGTACGAGTTGCCTGCCGAAAAGGCAGAGGCGAGGACACCGGCGTTGACGACGTGGGGGAGGCCTTCGATGCGCAATCTGTTCATGGCGATGACGTAGGGCGAGGCTGCGGCGCCCGGCTTGCCGAGTTTGAAGGCGGCAATGAGTTCGGGGTCGTTGTAGGGGACGTTGATGCCGACGGCGAGGGAGCCGAGGACGAAGAAGGTGGTGAGGCGGTAGAAGACGGCGTTGTAGGCGCGCGGAAGGACCACGCGCGGGTTCTCCGTCTCCCCGGCCGCCATGGAGACGTAGTCTGGGCCGGCAATGGTGAAGCTGGCCTGGATGAGGCATTGGAGGAATCCGAGGAAACGGCCGAGATTGCCTTCGTAGTAGAGCTCTGTGAAGCTGCCCGGGTTCTTCCAGTACCGGAATCCGTACCGGTCTTTTTGGGGATTACCGCCTAACATGGAAATGAAGGTGAAGAGCAGGAGACCGATGATGAGAAGGACTTTGCCGAGGGCGGCCCAGAATTCGGTTTCGCCATACCATTTGACGGCTAACATGTTGATGACCCTGGGGGAAGTGTCAGCTTCTCAGAAACACAAAAGACTGGCGATGACGAGCCGTCCTTGCAACGACAGGGCCGACAAGAGCAAGTAAACGTACGCATAGAGTACGACCACGATGGCGATGATGGCGCCAGTAGGCACGACATCACTCCAGAAGCCAATAATGACATTGCAGGCCACGATTTCGAAGGGCACGAGAAAGGCCTCGAAGATGAAGAAATTCCAGCCAGCGGCGACCCCAAAGGATTCATCTACAAATCTTCCGGCAAAGCGAATAAATGGCGAGGAAATAGGGAGGTAAGTGACCATCTCAGCGATACCTGAGGTTTGTATTAGTTTCCATGTCGCGTCAGGGTTCTTGCTCTCGAAGAGTTGCTTTGGGCGGATTCAATGAAGCGCTTTGGCATGTGTCGTCGCATTGGAAATTCAAAACAGGGAGTTCTCACTGAGCGTCACGGCCAGAATGACAGTACACCTATGGCGACTTTAGCAACTGATGATGCATTTCTCATGCTTCTCGGCCTGGTCGGCTGTCCGCAGCCGAGAGGCTCGCGAAGCACTCACCATAACGTGAAGGCGAGGAACAGAGCTCCTGGCCCACCGTTCATCAGACCCCTTCCAATCTGGACGTAGAGAGCGGTTCCGATTGTTCCACCGATACCGATGAGCTGAATGTGGCGGCTCTTGAGTGTTCGGTGTGTCGCATCAGAGACCTGTCGTACGGAGCCAATGGTGCTAGAACGACGAGGAAGAGGCTCGTCATTCTTCTCCTCATCCACCAGGATGCCCTGATTCTTAAGTTTACAAGAGTCACCGCCAGTCGAGAGTGGTTTACCCGAGGTATCCATGGCGAAAAGAGTAGATTCTATTTGGAGGTCGGCGAGGCGATCAGTTTCAGAGGATGGTTTTGAGGAGAAGCGCAAAGAACTGGACTTTGAAACCCATCAACCGAGATTTGGGCTCGCAAACGCTTTTGTGTTTTGGGGGTCAGGTAGGTACCGTAGTAGTGTAATCAGCAGAAAAAGCGATCGACGGTATGGTGCAATAACGGCGAAGGACCGAAGAAATAGGACAAGGTGGGTGTGCCGTGTTGATAAACCCTCCGTAGGCCTTTTTAGCGTGGTTGGAGGGATCTCAGCCCTGCAGTTACCTAGCTGTTTGCGACTCCACTTGATAGTGAACGCGGTAGACCGCCCTAGCCCCTCCTGGTCTACCCTGGGCATATCCAAGTTGGCCATGGCATGTTGCTTGGTGTCGTGATTTTACGGAGCCAATGACTTGTCCTGTGAAGACCGAGTCTCTCCAGCCGAGGCACGACGTGAACGCCCTTTTCGTCTTCCTTTCGGCCTTACTCGCCAGGTTCTGGCTACAGGATTTGGGATAGGACAGTCTGTAGGTAGTAGTAGACCATGGTCTTGGGTCGGCCATGCGTATGCGTCCCGGGATAGGTAGAGAGTGTAGCCGCAAGGGTTGGTGATACCAGGGACTCGACGCTAGGCCATAATCGAGACTGGGCATTGGCGGGGGGGAGTGGGGGGGGGGAATTCCAACATTCCTCGCTCACCATTGCGGCCATTCCTTTGTCTCCATGGTTTCTGTTCCCATGCTCATGCCCGGAACTTTTGTAGCCAAGTCCCTGCGTGAGAAGGAGATCCACCATCATTGCCACCACCCTCGCCATCGCATTGCACCACCGCACCACCACATCAACCGGAGACGCCGAATCCGCCCCCCCCCCAGGCCCTTCGGCGCAGCGAAAAAACCCCACCATCTCTTGTGTCAGCCTTGGCCCGCAAAGCTTCTCCAATGACCACACGCGCGAGCTCTGTGAAGTGGGGGCAGATCTAACTTGGCAACTCTAGGCCCGTCGTTAAGGCCCCAGGCTTCTTTCTCCACCCCGCCGCCCGCCACGGGGCTTAATTGTACATCGGAGGAGGTCAGGCTGGGCGGTTTGCCAGAGTCGGGTCAAGGGAACCTTTTTTGCCGACCGACACACAAGAGAGGTGGATCAACTGTTCATCTGTTTATTGGCGGTTGTGGAATAGCTGGGTTGGTTGGATTTATTACCTGGCCTGCAGAAACGAGGGGAGCGCCTTTGTGGGGTGGTTGCGCTTATCGTACCTACTACCTACTCTTCACTGTGGACGAACCGGTAACTAGGCAGACTAGACTTTTGTGGCGTTGGAGCAGCCGTCACGTCTACCCGCCTATTTACGCATCGAGCATTAAATGTCGCAATTTTCATCATCATCATCATCTCAAATCCCATCCCCAGCCGAGCCCAAGATCTCCCCCCAAGCAATCTGGGCCACTCTTAATCCGCGCTCTCCAGTCTCAGCCGTGTTCCCTGTTTTGTGGCTCCTGGGCCTAGACAAACACCACACTACACCCACCCGACCCCACGCTTCCTCATATCCTGCTCCTGCCTACCCATGTGCCTGTCGCTTCATCGTAAACGGCATGCTTCGGCTTCCGCCGCACTCCAGACGCTATTTGGCGCATGTGCTTGCGACCCGCAGCCTGGAAATCTGACAAGGGAAGAAAGGATGGTTGTGTTGAAAGTATACCTACCGCGCGCAGTCGTCATGCGAGTTCAATTCCAAGAATTCTGGCCATCCTCTTCCCTCTCCACGACGAGGAACCTGGTACAAAAGGTAGCATGAGCAGAATCTGGGATGATTCAATGAGGCTATCATGTCCACAAATCTTCCTCTTGTAACAATCACAATGCACAAATGTTGGCTAGCCGAGGGCATATTACGATTCCACTGCCTCTCTCCTCCTAGCATACAAACGTGCCCGTTTCATCTTGAACTCGTTGCGCCTCGCAGCTCCTCCTGCCACTGCACATCACAGTGCCATTCCAATTGGCTTGCGCTTCACAGAAGGGCTATCGGGAACCTCTGGTAGGCTTTCTGTCAATTCCTTCATCGCAAGTGCGTCATGCTCGTGTTGATCCCTAAGTTTCGCCATGGTCGTCACCTCTCCCAACCAGCGCTCACCTGTTTTGTGGTCGAAGTGAACTGGTTGTACAACGCCCTCGTAATCAGTCATGTCTTCCAAAGCCGGCGGATAGATGATGGTCGTCTCCTTGCGCTCAAAACCCTCGTCTGTGATGTACGATTTACCATGGATGACCTCGGGTTCCGTACGCCATCTCGACTGAGCCTCGTAGCTTTGTGGTATCTGTTTTTGCATAATCTCCCACCACCTGTTCTCGCCTGTACGTGACGGCAGTTCGTCAGCGGTGATCTCAATGAGCCCCTCGCCGTTCGGATTGGGAATGAAGTGGCGCGGTGGCAGCACTTCCGTGTGCAAGACTGGCTGTAAACGGTGGTAGTACGAGTAGTTGTGAATTTCGCGATGAATCTCGTGCTGTATGATTTCGTGCTCGTGGGGCTTGATGACTTCGTGTACGACAGCTTGGGTCTTGTTAGCCCTGACGCGAGATTGGAGGAGTCTTGGATAAGACTATGAGCATGGAGTATGAGCAGGTACTTACGTGCTGCGACCGTCGTTTCCTTCTCCACATCGACAGTGTCTTGCAAATTTACTACACCATTCAGGAGAGCTGCTTGCTTCGCTCTCCAATCCTGTACGTTGCCGTTATGCAGATCACTTATGCCACTGGAACCAATGGATGGCCCCCTAGCTCGTCCTTGTGTCGAATTGAAGGATGCTGAAAGTGATGTCAGTATGCTGTCAGACAAATGTCGAAGATGACTTGATTACCTGGTGCTTTTGGGAGAGGTTTATCTCGGCCGGAATCGAGTGAAGACCTTTTCCTGGTATTATAGCGATCAGGCACATGATGTTCCCCATTGACGTGTTGCCTGCTGTCGCTTTGTCCAATGTGATGTAAGGCGGGTAGATAGGCATGATAATCTTTGGCAATGGAAGGGTCGACAGAAGTTGTTGAAGATGTTGTGGGCTGTGGACGGGTGTTGTGGATTTTGGAAGAGTGCAATGTTGTTATGCCATTACCATGTTGATCGTAGTGACCGGCGCTCACGGGTGGGTTGCTATGGCTGGCAATCGAAGGCCCATTGTGGTGATGCAAAGATTCTCGAGCGCGCCCATCCGTAGGGGTAGAATGTCGCTCAGTACGTGGACTGGATGCTTCCGAGGACTCGTAGGATTGGCGTGGTGATGAAGACGAAGGAGATTTGCTGCGACGTGAGCCGCGCAGGACCGCCTTGATCTTCTGTTGCATATCGCCTAGCTTTCAGGGAAAGTGTACCTAAAAAAAAGCCAAGGTAAGAGAGAGCAAGTTGAGAGCGGGCAGAGCAAGTCAGGTGAGTTGTTCCGGATGGCTTGAGGTGCTTGTGTCAATTGGTAGCACTTGAGAGAATGGGGAGGCAAAGGAGCCAAAGGTTCACGACATGATGACGCAGTCGGACGCACTTGTCCACAGACGCTCGCGTAGGACAAACATGGCAATATTGGGAGAACTAGGTACGAATTGCTTCTAGAATCAGGCAGGGGAGGGATGAGGCAGAAAAGAGCGAGTGACACGCCAGATGAATTCAGCTCAGGTCAGAAGCAGATGGTGGCTGCACTCTACCTCTGTGTGTGTGTGTGTGTGTGTGTGTCTATGAATCCCTGTGTCTGTGGTGTGCATGTCTGTGGTGTTGTCTCTGTATGTGCATGCATGATGGCTCCTGCCGCCGTGGGATCCAGACTGCAATCGTCCTTGCCTTCCATCTTGGTGGGGTGTGTCAGGCCCCTTCCAGTCCCTCCCTGCCGCTAAAGCAAATCGGGCTAACCCAAGACTATCTCTCCTCTCAGTCTGGTACTTCTTACCCGGCCACAGCTGATGTGTGGCGCCTCTCGATGACGTCGACTATGTGCCGTCGGTCCCTTTTCTTTGGCCAGGGACTGCTCTCTGCTCTCGTTGCAGGGAAAAAGAGAAAAGAGAGAGCAGAGAGAGAGAGTGAGAGAGTGAGAGAGATAGAGAGAGAGTGTGTGTGTGTGTGTATGTGCATGCACTGTGTTGTGTGTACGGTATGTGTGGCACTACACCCATGACGCTGCAAGAGGGATAAAGGGTTGTCCTCATCGAGACTAAGGTAGACCGGCATGACGACAAGGGTGACTTTTTTTGGTTGCGGACGGCTCCACTGATTTATCCCCATCGCATCAGTTACCAAGCCATCTTCAGCAGAGCCATGTACCCAACTACCTAGCACCACAGTTCCATTACCGGAATGGTCATCAAAGAGACTCTGAACGGGACGGGATGGAAAAAAGCAAAGAGGTGGCGGGCCATCTGCCATGGTGATTGCGGAGATGGCTGGGATGATGGTGATGTTCTATGCATGCACATTGATAAACAATGCGATATACCTGTGCAAGTATCTCCCGTTCTGTCCTGTTTACTGTGTACTGTGTGTACTGTGTGTATTGTGTGTACTGTGTGTACTGTGTGTGCAGTGTCACTGTGTAGGAGTAGATGGGGGTGTGGAAGAAGTCCATGGATCAGAAGATCTGCACAGGGATAGCGGGGGAGGGTCGAGGGCCGTGCAGATCATCGCCACTACAACACATACGGTAATAGGAATGTCCTATGGCGATCACAGCAATCTGCATCCAACTCCAGCAAGTACACACAACGCTACAACCGTAATCATTCCTACTCTACCTATGCATCCAGCCTCATCCCCTATCCTGATTGGGAACGAGGGAATCAATCTTGTTCTTGCTCTCTCTCTCTCTCTCTCTCTGTCTCTGTCTCATACACACACACACACACTGCAATATGACTGCATTTCCCGTAAAGACGCTGGCGGAACGCGTGGGAATTACGGTTGCAGCGCGTAACATAGCGTCCTCCGTCATCTCAAGCGTACCGCTGCTGTCCAACTAGCTCACGATCGAGCAATGGTTTGTGGCGCCTTTGTCTCATTGGATCACACCTTTTGCCTGACGTATCGAGCCCGCTGTCAACAGCCCCACGGAGACCTTTACAATGCGACCACCTGCTAACGGATCGTGGTAACCTTGCCTCGTCGACCAATGGCTGCTTCTGAACACAGCGATGGAAACAAGGCAGCTGCTCTAGAGTAGTACTCTAAGAGTACAGTCGTCTTGTGTAGGATGGCCAAAGAGTGGAGACGGTCTGCCAGCTGTGCTTGAATCTCAAATGTCGATTACGTAGTTGTGCGTTTACTGTTGGGGGACGTCATGCTCTGCCGTATAAAGTACTCCCTACCGCAGCTTCCTCCGCCGTCATCATCATCATCACACACACAAACATAAACAAAAACAATCATCTTCCTTGATACCCACCACCACAACTTCACTCCAACTTCACTACCCCCAATCAACCACCCTCCCCCCACACAATCACAATGGACAAGGCAAAGGCAGCCATCACCGACTTCATGGGCCGCTCAGGTCACCATGACACCACCGTACACGAGGCTGTAGCCCCCGCTGTCGTACAAGAGACCATCAAGCCCCATGTCCACGAGGAGGTCAACACTGCCATTGACAAGGAGGTTCACCAGGACCACTACCACCGCACAGTGCAGCCAGTCAAGGACCGCGAGGTTCTGCCAGAGAAGCACGAAGCCAAGATTGGTGCTGTCCAGCACCGCGAGTTTGACCACCGTGACCACGAGTCCACCAAGAAGAACTTGGTTGCTGAGCAAGCCCAATTCAAGGATGAGAGGCGTGTCGATGCCACCTCCCACAGCCAGAGCGTGGCACCTGTTGTCGGCGGTGAGCACGTTCATCACCACATCCATGAGACGATCCAGCCTGTCGTCCAAAAGGAGACCATCCAGCCCAGTGTTGTCCACACTACTGTGCCCATCCACGAGGTTCACCACAACAAGGCCACTCACCACGAGACTACTGCTCTGCCAGCGATGACCATGGACCAATTCAAGTCCAAGGGCGGATCTCTCACCGGACGTGAGGAGCGCTACGACGAATTCGAGGGTGTCCCTAAGAACATTGGCAGCACTACTGCTGGAGGTCTCGGAGCCGTTTCCGGTCTCTCGCACAAGGAGGGCCATCACAGTAAGGAGCATGCCCGCCACGGTGACTATGATGCTACGCCTAACCATCATTCTCACGCGGGCATCAAGCAAGGAGGACTCACCACTAACTCAACTACCTCAGGCCACTCTCACGGAACTGCCAACCCTCTTGATCGCAACAACGATGGCCGCGTCGATGCTCGCGATACTGGCGCTATGGGACAGGGCAATCTTGCTGGATCCTCAACACAGGGTGGTGTCCTCGGTAACAACGTTCACTCCGGAACTTCCCATACTGGTGCTCACCACGGTACCGACGGCGTTATTGGTGGAACTCGCAACGAGTCTGACCGCCTCGCACATCGTGACCACGAAGACGGTAACCTGCCCCGTGCCCTAACTGAGGACAAGTCCCACTTTGAGCCTCATCATTCGTCGACGACCAACTCACACGATGCAGGTGCGCACAAGAAGCCCAGTCTCATGGACAAGGTAGGATGACTGCACCGATGTTAGTGTTGTACACATGCTGACCTCAATTAGTTGAACCCCAAGGTTGATGCCGATGGTGATGGCAAGGCTGGTTTCATGAAATAGATGAGTGTGACGGAGTCCTCACGTCTGAGCCACACCAGAATGGCTTGTTTTCATCATAATATACCAATTACGTAGTAACTCAACGAGCAATTGAAGTAACTTGAAACAAAGCGTGGTTTTGTTTGACTTGGCGGTGCAAAGGCCAGTATATGTCCAATGTATACGACTAACGTTAAGCGTCACTTGGGAACAGTTGATCGCCTACTCTGGCCCTGCTCCTCAACATGTCCTAATGGGACACAGCTTCCCCCAACGTTCCCCTCATTGAACAATCAATCATTGATCCGCGTCATCATGACGCACAACCCGTAAGCCGCATCCAGATGCGGTCTTTGGGGGCCCGTGTGGGGTAAGTCGGTCTCTTAGCTTCTACAGATAAGTTGGCTTCCCCAAGTCCTCTGCCTGCTTAGCTATGAGACTAATTCATAATGTAGAGTAGGCAGTGTATACACGTGATGACGACTTCGCACGCGGACATGCATACATGGACCATGTGCTCTCTCTATAGATGTCGTTCCGCAATCGGCTTCCACTGAGCAATGGGTTGATCAGTCGGCACAAGCACCACTTTGCCGCCCTTCCACCCACCCAATTCACCGTGTCCATGCACATCAACACCCAACTGCATAGCCATGCCCTCCACCCTTGACAACTCCGTTTCAGTCACCACGGGACAGTCATGACTTTCCACGTCAGCATAAGGTGACAACCGTGAGAGCTAGCGTGGACATACTACAAAAGACTCAGATGAGGATTATATTGTTGCTCCGCCCACCCTTTCGCCACCTCTTCCTCTCCAAACCCCTCCACCTCCTGACGGCACACACGTGCAAGATCTCGCACCCCAGCGGTCTTTGCACACTGGACGTATAATTTCCTCACAAACACATCTTCGCTGGCTAGCTGTTGGAAAGTGATCACCACGCCGTCGGTAGACGGCAGATGGAGCGCATCAAGCCATGCTTGTGGATCAGAGCTGTATGACGATGCAGAGATTTCGGAAGTAAGGGTGATGTGGGGGAGGAATCGGTGGGGAGAGTGGAAGTGTGAGGATGTCTGGGAGATGAGGGTGGGGAGGAGGGTGTGGAGGGGGTGGGTGGGTGGGGGTAGGAGCCATAGGGATGATCCTGGCATCTTTGCAAGCTGGTGAAGATGGATGGTCTGTATATGCGATGCTGAAGTTCCGTGGTCGACAGTTTTTCTCGACGTGACAAGTAGGAGTATGGACTTTGGATGGCTTGTATTGATGGTCACCAATACCGGTATAGTCGGGATGGTTGGCTACTCCTACTAAGTACTCAAAGTCGACGAGGAGAGTCTTGCTTGATGTGATTGGCCAACCACGGATTCTCTGGTCTTGGCAGGCACAGAAGCAAAATGTCGGCAGCACGGCGTCATACGGTCTGTGCGGGACCCCCTCCACTACTCATGCGCTCGGGTAGTTTGAGTATCATGTGACTTGCCACTGCTACATCCTGGCTCTCTTGATGGCACAAGACAAGTAACGTGATCCTCAAACTAGCCGAGAGAACGAGTAGTTAGTGTGCCACTCGCCCGCGATGGCGTAGGATGTACCACAGTGCAATGCCACCTGACAACACATCCCACAATCAATCCATCACAACGCGTTCAATTCTGCTTATCCCGGTCTACTCTTAGACGAGGGTTCCTTTGCCTGCATCGTCTATGTTTTTACCCTAGCCTGGCATGGCTGCTAATGTTACCGTAAACCTGGCGTCGCTCCTGCAACGTTCCCACGGTTGGCATTCGCGTCGCGCATGTGAAAGCCCGCGCACCAGTCTCAAGGAACATCGCCTGACTGCTTCATGGCAACCCTTCTCCGCATGACCGCATTTCGCCATCGCTACATCAAACATCTCTACTTACCTCCACCGCTCCATGCGGTCCTGTCAGAACCATGGTCAATGACTCCTGGGTGCGGATCCTTGTGACACTCGTGTGGTTCCTCTCCGCCGGCATCCATGTGCGTATATCCGCGAAGGCGTTCTTTTTGAACGCATGGAGACCATTCCCTAATGCGTTGTAGCAACTTTGGTGTTGGCTGTGGTCCCCGAGCACGACTACGAAATGTCTCGCATCCATGGCGTCTGCGCAAACTTACAAAGAGTGGCAGGAGGCTGCAAATATGCTGGACAAACACTTGGCTTATGATGCCTGGTACGTCTAACTGTGTTGTGTTGTTCTCCAGAATTCTAGTAGGCCAGGCGCTGAAATAATCTCCCAGGCGCCAGAGCAACTACAGCAAATACTACGATTACCGCATGATCCAAAGCCGACATAACCTCTTGGTGGATGCGCAAAATGATCCAGAAGGCATTGATATTCATACCCTCATCAATCTGGTTCAGACGGGTCTCATACGCAACCTCGGTAACATTGCAAACCCAAAGCTTTATAATCGTGCGTTTTACGGTACGAAGAGGATCATTGGTGAATACATGCTGCAAGTCATCGGTGCTATTAACATCATCGAAAAGTATCCCACGTCGAAAAATGGGTATACGGACTCTCAAAAAGAGTCTACAATAACCAGTTTCAAACGATCGTTCGGCCATTCCGCTCTTATACTGCAAGGCGGGGCTATGTTTGGACTATGCCATCTCGGCGTTGTTAAAGCACTACTGGAGCAGAAACTACTCCCCCGATGTATTGTAGGGACCTCTACAAGTGCTCTCGTCGCTGCATTCGTGGGTGTCCACACTCGTGAAGAGCTCCCGGGGTGTTTGACTGGGAAGAACATTGATCTCACGGCGTTTACAAACCGACCCTATAGGAAAGACACTGGTTATCTGGGGCGCCTTGCAACGCTGGTTCGCCGTCTGAAAAGGTGGTGGCATGTCGGCCACTTCCTCGATCTTGATGTCCTGGAGGAAATGTTGAAGGCAAACCTGGGCAATATGACATTTGACGAGGCTTTTTTGCGGACAGGGACGGTGCTGAACATCATCATCACTGGCAGGAACGGACAACCTGTAGTGCTGAATTACCTCACCGCTCCATATGTTGTATGTTGCTCTAGCTTGTCAATGACCATTGCAGCACTAAATCTCCCCAGTTCATTTGGTCAGCAGCCCTCGCATCCAATGCCGCACCTTCCAATAAATTGGATCGTCCGATAACAGTCATGTGCAAGAATTATAACGGGGCGGAGATACCTTGGATGCATCCAAGCATGTCAACGTTCCAACCTCCTGGAAGCCGACCGAATCATAATGCTTCGCCCCTCAATGAGATCCGTGTACAATTCAACGTCAACCATTTCATCATCTCGCAAGCGCAGCCCTACATTGCTCCACTGCTACGGACCGATCTACACGAGCCAAACCCAAAGCATCGTGGACTGTTGAAGGTTAGTGTGATACTGGTACAAGAGTTCGCAAGGGAGATGCATCATCGTCTACGGCACAAACCTCAAAGTGGCGGTATATTGTCCGGACTAGCCTGTCTGATACTCGACGAATTCGTCCCTGGACTGAAACTCACCCTCGTCCCCAAATTCCAGCGCACCGACTTTCCGAAGCTCCTCGACCATCCAACCCAAGAAGTCATTGACTACTTCATCCTCAAGGGCGAGCGAAGCGTCTGGCCCGCCGTCAAAGCCATCAAAACCCGCTGTTGCATCGAGATGGAGCTGTTTGACGCGCTCGAACGTCTCAAGCGTCCCACGCCGCCACAGCCTGGCCATGGCACATCCACGGAAGCTCTATCTAGCGACACTTCCCAAGAACCCCTGGGCTGGCACTTAAGCCAAGGTGGAGCTTCATCCTCGTCGTCCCAAGGCAGGCTCTCGGGCCTGGCTTTGGCGGGTGCTAGTATCTCAAGGCGAAGTGGTGAGGGTGCGGCGTCGCAGATGAGTGCGGCGGATCTGGAGACACAAAGGAATCGAGCGCTGTATGGAGATTGAAGAGTGGGAGGGATGTAATATATGGGGGGTTTGGCGATTGGATGCAGGATTTGGGTGGGAAAGGAAGCTGCACGGGGGATGTTGGGGGTGGGAGAGTACGCTCTTTTGTGTGATGTGTGTTGGTTGAGGATGCGAAAGTATTATTCTCACCTGTGCAGGTGTGGAGATGGACCTGTGATATTGTTAATCACCGTTTTGAGGAATACATGAAGAGTAGATATCACTCTGACGGGCTCTACAAAGACTCGTCTCGTCTCGTCTCGTCCCGTTTTATAGTCTACACATATGCTGTCCTCCATTCCTTCTCGCTTATGGATATAGCCTCGTGTCGTGTCATATCGTGCCATGTCGTGTGGTCATGGCATACCTAGAGATTTGTCAGTCCTTGGTGTGAGGCATGTAGGTCTTATCTATGCCATTGGGATGATGGATTGGGTATGGGGTATCGAGTACCTGGGTCGAGCTTTTCGGATGAGGTTGGAGGTGTGGCGAGGTAGTACGAAGGTGATGTGATGAGAGCGAGCAGGTGTTGAGACTGTACTGTGAAAATCTCGAGGGCGATTTTTGCTGGGATAAAGTATAGTATATAGGCAAATATAGTAAATCTACCAGCTATACTACTATCGCTATCCTACCATCACAAAACAAGTCACCGCAGCCTTCCCGGGAAGACAATCAGTGGTGGACTATATTATCAACATCACATACAGTCTGTAAACTTGCCGTATCGAACTAGCACGTCTTCTACTTTCTCAGTGTTGCTGCTTCGCCGCAAAAGTTGGAGGGTTGTGAGGTTGACGGTTTGGGTGAGATGGAGGTTTGGCTGTATGTGGTTTGTGTGCGATTGCTGGATGCGAGGCTGTTGGTGGTGGTGTGAGTGGGGGTGAGGATGGGGTTGGGGTCTTGCTGTATGTGGTTTGTGTGTCCTCAAGGCTGGGTTTGGACGTTGGGTTGGACGTTGGGTTGTGTGTGTGCCGCTTGGGATGTAGATATAGTTTATAATTGTATCAAAGCCATGCTACGTATAATCCATGAACGAAGCTGCTGTACGTGATTCCCCAAATCTTGCTTCCTGTGCGCCACTGCCTGTGATCTCGCTGATGGTGTGGGTATGGTATTCCTACCGCTGATACCGGTCGTCGTGCTGCCCGTGAGACAAGTGTGGTGAGGGAGTGTGTGCGCTGTTTGTCTTTGAGTCTGGGTTGTTTTGAGTGTTAGCTGCTCTGCGCTGTTGAGATGTTGGGGCTCTGTGGGCATGAGCTGGCTTATCGTTGTGGCGTTTGTGTGCTGTTCACTACGGTAAAAAATTGTTTACTGTAGAATGGTACGCTAGGGGTTTACTATATAGGTGTAAACTGACCTCGTGTATACCTGTAAATAGGTTTAAAGTAGTGGTTTACTTTATTATAGGTGGTTTAAATTAAGTATAAAAAGTAGTTTTATATCTATTATACGCTATAATACCTAACTAAGACTAAAAGGGGTAGAAAAGATTAGCTTCACGCTATACGCACATATGACATAATAATAAGTCATGATATTTTTACTAGTAGGAGGTGGTGATAATAGAGGTGGTGGTAGAGGTAGTGGTAGAGGTGGTGGTAGAGGTGGTGGAGGTAGTGGAGGTGGTGGAGGTAGTGGAGGTGGTGGAGGTGGTAGAGGTGGTGATAGAGGTGGTGGAGGTGGTGATAGAGGTGGTGATAGAGGTGGTGATAGAGGTGGTGATAGAGGTGGTGATAGAGGTGGTGATAGAGGTAGTGGAGGTAGTGGAGGTAGTGGAGGTAGTGGAGGTAGTGGAGGTAGTGGAGGTGGTGGAGGTGGTGGAGGTGGTGATAGAGGTGGTGGTAGAGGTGGTGATAGAGGTGGTAAAGAAGATTAAAGAAAGGAGGGGTAAAATACTTAAATAGTTAGTAGGAAACTAGTTATTACTAATACTAGTAGATTAATAGAAGTAGAAATAAAAGTAGTTTACTTTTGTGGAATACATGGTATAATAAACCCTATTTAGGTTTACTTCTTCTACCTAAACCACTTCTTGGTCTACTTTAGATAAATATGGCTACTGTAAACCGGTTTTGTACTGTACTGGTTGTAGAGCGTAGAGGTGAGTGTGCAGCTTGTGAAGAGCGTGATGGAAGTGCTTGAGTACTTGAGTGCTTGAGTTTGGTTTCATTTTGCCAGTTGTGAGTGTAGCTGGTGTTCGCCTGGTACTACCTGTGAGAGGCATGTTATCGGCTGCTGTGTGAGAGTCCTTGGGTCTGCTTTGCTTGCCTGCTAGGTGTTCTGAGTGCTCAGCTCGTGACGAGCGTGACAGAGGTGCTCGATTCCTTCAGCTCGCTTCCATTATGCCAGGCATGTAAGTGTCACTGTTAGCATAGCTGGTGTTCATCTGTATACTGCCCGTAGTAGTGTACGAGTTCTTGAGTCTGCTTTGCTTGTCTGTGACGCGCTCTGAGCCCTCAAGATCCTGACTGCCCACTGAGACAGCAATAATGCTCACTGAAGCGTTGAAGTGCGCCTCCCAGTCAGTGTGTAGAGGCGCTGCTCAAATGACATTGGCTTTGTTGCTTCCTATTCCTTCACTGATGGCAAGGCGTTCAGAGGTTCTTCACTGTCTCCGGGCACGATTTGGTGAGATGATGACGCCGGCGACTCTATACTACAAGCTCTGCTTGCTCTTCCACTACTATTGACTGTATGATCCAAGCTATCTGACCCGGTGTTGCTCCTCACTCCATGACTGAAGCTGTGATTGCCCCAGTGCTGTCAGTGACTCCATGACTGAAGCTCTGCCTGCCAGGTCTCTCATACTCATCTTCTGTCACCGCATTGTGTCACAATACACGAACAAGTCAAAATACTACTGGCTCCGGTCCTGATGACTTCAGATCCAGCCACGACGGGCTGCTCATTGCCATCGTTTCTCGCCATTCAGTATCCACCCTCTTCCACAGCACCTCAAAATGCCACACTGTGCTCGCTGCCCTCGGCTAATCTTACCTCTTTCCGTGTCCTGCCCGGCTGTCCACGCCCGTGCCCACGCAAATCCGCAGTCACCTCGTCTTCAACTAGCACCCACGGCCTTCTAACAGCATCTATACCCGAAGGAAGGCACGCTAGTGTCTGCTAAGCGAGGCTGGCGCCGTACCCTGCACGGACCAACAGTTTGGCAACATATAAGCCTGCCTCCTCCCTCCCCAAGACAACAATTTCTCACTATCGCACACCAACTCAGTGGCCAATACATCAAGAGTTCCAGTAGCCTTGAGCATTGGAAGCATTCCTCCGAATCTTTTCTTCTTTTTCCAATTTCTTCACTTCCACTTTGGCCTTTCATCATGGCAACATGGCTTGAGTACATTCACTCTTCGGGTCTTGGCACTTGACATGACCAAGTAAGTTCGACAAGTCCTTTACACATTTGACTTGACACTCACCTTTGATAGATATACAAGACATGCATCTTCGAAACAACATCTGATCATTCTTCATGAATGGTTTGAAGGTTGTATGTCTTGTCGACATCACTCATCGTGTCTTCATGATAACACATGATCACACGACAACAACACTTCAACATCAGATGACTTGATCATACAACATGAACAATTCATGAACAATTCATCATCATCACTTCTTCATTAGATGACATGACAACAACACTTCATCAACACTTCAACATCACTTTATCAACACTCCAACACTTAGATGACATGACAACATCACTTCAACATCATCACTTTGTCAAGTGCCATTCACTATACCCTTGGTGATAATTCAGTAAGTCTCTTTCTCTCTCTTTGTCTTATCACTCTAACATCTTCAGTCATCATGGACGAGTCAACACAGAACCAGCCACCTGAAAGCTCCCGAGCGCAGGCTGCTTCGACTCTCCTTCGCAAACCAATTCCATCCCCCCCTCGATAACTACGACCGGTCGAGTGCAGCTACAATATGGTTTGGAAACAAGGCTGGCTTTGGGGATTTGGTCACTGTGAATTTACTTGCATCACTCAGAGGGCGACTCTTCGGAGTTCAGGACAAATCTGAGTGGACAAGTATATGAGGACTTGGCATTTGCATCGATCAGAGGGCGGCTCTTCACAGGGCTCAGGTCAAATCTGGGCTGATTGCAATGTCTTTGTGGCTTTTTGCATCATTCAGAGGGCGGCTCTTCACAGGGTTCAGGTCAAATCTGAGATGATCGCAATAGGAAAGGGTTTGGAAAGTGT